GCGAGCACTAAACAGCACTGTGAGATCCAGTGTGAAGCACAGATAGAGCGATGAACACAAATGACTCTGTGATTTAAACTAGTTTAAAGCCAAACAGGAGAAACACTGTGTTCAACGAGACAGCCAGAAGGCTTTTCAATCTACACGTCGCCATCATTTACCATGGTTTTACTGTAGTAACACTCACTGCACCATGGTATTGTGGCAGAAATGTGGGATATTCACATTGAATTTTATTACAGGAGTAATGGTATATAATTATAGTACGTATTTGTGATTAAGCTATAGCATGTGTGCATTTATACAGAGTATTTTTAGACTACTGTTTTTCATACAAATAGGCTACCTAAAAACCATATAGTTATATTTTTACCATGGTATTGAGGTTCTGTATGTGTGGTTTTAACTGTGTTTATCATGATTTAAATGTATGCTACTATGGGAGACCAATGCTTAATAAAAAAAAACTTGGTCAGAATAAATTTAACCATATAAAACTGAGATTGCTACCATTTTTACAGATGTTACTGATTTTGATAATGAACAAAAATTTACCTCTTCATCCTAACTCAAGCTCAAGCTACTATCAAATGTGCATTTCTAAGAGACAAAAAAGTGATATTATTATTATTATTATTAATATTATCAGGCAACCCAAACCGGTTTCCTTATTTGAAACAATATCACTCATTAAAACATGCAGAAACTTTTTCTATTTTTCTATTTATTTTGTTAAATCATTATAATGAGCCTAAATTAATGGTCTGGTTTCTACAACTTTCACTTTGGAGCAAAAATCTGCCTTTTAACTAGAAAGAAATAAAGATTTGACATTTATCGTGATGATTATCGATATTGACTGATATGAAAAGAATTATCGTGATAATTTTTTTTGGACATATCGCCCAGCCGTAGGCTTTAGTCTATCACACAGACCTGCGCTTACCCTCCTCCATCCCCAACTCCTCCTTATACAGGCTCATGATCACTTAGCGTCTTGTCCATGGAAATCATCTATCAGCTAATCATTGCTTAAAGGGATAGTTCACCTAAAAATGAAAATTTGATGTTTATCTGCTTACCCCCAGGGTATCCAAGATGTAGGTGACTTTGTTTCTTCAGTAGAACACAAACGAAGATTTTTAACTCAATCCGTTGCAGTCTGTCAGTCCTATAGATGGCATAAAAACCATCTTGCCTCTACAAATTTCACATCTTTGCCAGACACATTGAATGAGATCTATGCACGATTTGAAGGCACTAACCCCAGGAAGGTGGTCAAGTCTATCCCCCACCAGGCGATAATGTACTGTCTGTTTTCTCAAGTGATGTCAGGAAGACCCTCCTCGGGGTGAACCCTCGCAAAGCTGCCGGATCAGATGGCATTCCCAGCCGTGTCTTCAAGAAATGTGCCCACCAACTGACTGATGTTTTTACAGACATTTTTAACATCTCCCTTGAGCAGGCGGTCGTCCCAATGTGCTTCAAATCCACCTCCATCACCCCAGTGCCAAAAAAACCCACAGTAACATGCCTAAATGACTATCGGCCTGTTGCACTCACCCCAGTGATCATGAAGTGCTTTGAAAGATTGGTCATGACTCACCTCAAAAAACTTATCCCACCCACTCTGGAGCCCCAAAAATATGCATACAGACACAACCGCTGCACAGATGATGCCATTGCATTCACAATTCACCAGGCCCTTTCACATCTAGAAAACAAGAACTCGTATGTCAGAATGCTGTTTATTGACTTTAGTTCAGCATTTAAAACAATCATCCCACAAACACTAATCGAAAAACTGTCTTTACTTGGATTAAGCACATCAATGTGCAACTGGATCCTTGACTTCCTGAGCAACAGACCACAGGTTGTCAGAATAAATACACAGACGTCCCAGCCCATTACCCTGAGCACTGGTGCACCACAAGGCTGTGCACTGAGTCCACTGTTATACACCTTGCTGACTCATGACTGCATTGCTAAACACCAAAGCAACAGCATTGTAAAATTCGCAGATTATACCACAGTTGTGGGGCTCATCAGCAATGATGATGAGACAGCATACAGGGATGAAGTGAACCAACTCATAGCCTGGTGTGACTACAACGATCTCTCTTTGAATGTCAACAAGACAAAAGAGATGATTTTTGACTTCAGACGCACCAAAGCCCAACACCAGCCTTTATCCATCAATGGCACTGAGGTTGAAACAACACAAAGCTTCAAATTCCTGGGACTGCACATCTCAAACGACCTCACATGGTCACTAAACACCTCCTCCTTAGTAAAGAGAAGGCTGAAGAAAGCAGGCATGACCCCCTCTATCCTCACGACTTTCTACAGATGTGTCATTGAGAGTGTACTAACCAGCTGTATCACAGTTTGGTATGGAAATTGCTCAGCATCTGACAGGAAAGCCCTACAACGGATAGTGAAGACGGCACAGCACATCACTGGGAACTGTCTTCCTGCCATCGAAGATATCTACAGCACCAGGTGTGTGAAGAGGGCAACCTCCATCATGAAGGATCCTTCTCACCCTTCCCACACCTTGTTCATGCCTCTCCCGTCTGGAAGGAGACTGAGAAGCATTCAGACCAGAACTTCCAGACTCAAAAACAGTTTTTTCCCACAAACAATCAGACTTCTCAACAGCTAGTCAGATGTGCACCTATATCTCACCCCAGGAACCCCCCCCCCCCAAATTAAAACCAAATTAAACCCTGCGTCTTGTGATGATACATTGATGTGTAAAGATCTAATAAGATCTACAATCTCAATTGGGAGTGTCAATGGTCCATTTGAGAGATAGGTTGTGGTAATATACTTATAAGTCTGCTATTCGCTGTAAAGCAAGAAGAAGACTCCTCACGCGCAGGCTGAAGAAGAAGACGCTAACACGCTCAGGACAGTTCAGACATTGCGGTGAAAATCTGTGGTAAAAAAACTATATAAATACTGTTCAGTTTCTTGCGATCGTTTTGTGTCTTTTCTCATCAATGTATCATCATGGGCCGCAGGGTTTAATTTGGTTTGGTTTGTGTATGTTTTATTACACTCAAAGCCGTGATTCCCATCCACTGACATTATAGGACTGACAGACTGCAACGGTTTGAGTTAAAAATCTCCGTTT